TCATATTTATTACTTACTGTTAATTGTATTTTCACACATTTTTTTTTATCAAAAAAATATATACTTTGAACCTTAGCTTGAGACTTTGCATCTTTTTTTGTAAATATTGTACAGGCTAAGCTATGCGAAAGGATGTTTTTAAGTAAAAATTTTGATTATTTTTACATTATTTAATAGTTTTTAAATTCTGCCAGTAAATTACAGAAAAATATATGATTAATAGTAATATTTACTTAATTATTTTTTTAGTCTATTGACATGAAAACTTTATGTGCTTTTTAACTCTCGTTGATTGTTATGTGCACAGCAAAACATATTATTTGTAAATTATTCCGCATTTATAAATTTAAATATTTTTTATAGTTAAAAATATTTAACTTATCTAATTGTCTGGCTTAATTTCTTAAAATTTCTTACTTTAATACTAATGAAGTTAAAAAGAAGAATATAAAAAGTTTCAAAATTTATTATTAATTATGATTTGATCTTTAAATAATTAACATATTCAAAAAAATAAAAAATGTTTACTTTAATTATTTATGTAAAATTTATACTATATTCGCATGTTAAATTTTTTTGAATTAAGTATTTTTTTCTAAAAAAATAGTTATAGTTTGACATGGACATGAATATACAATTAAGAGAAAAATAAATAATTAATATTTATTTTAGTTTGATATAAATGCTAGACAACTTTTTGCTAGAAACATGTTATTGCTTCGTTTTAAAAAAGGTTTGTGTTTTTAAAATTCATCACATATCATAAATTTAAAATTTTTTTTACAATAATATAACTTTAAAAAAATATTATCATAATTATCGACTAAAATAAGTTATTATCACTTGTTATTTTGCATCATCTATAACGACAAAAAAGTTTGTATGTTAATTTGCTCGCAAAATTTTATGACATTGCAGTCAAAATTACTAGATTTTTATAAATTTTTTTGTTTTAAATTTACTGTAAAAAGGTATTTTATTAAAATCAACAATATTGTCAATTATTTTAATCAAAAATAATGTTTGTAAAATTTTAATAATGTAATGCAGTTGATACAGTATTAAAGAATTTTACGTATTGTTGTGATGCTATTTTTGTAAAATTCGTTTTAAATAATGAATTTTAAATTCCAAAAACAATTTTTTTACTTTTTGGAAAATTCAATGATGTATAAATGAAAAGATTTATTAAATTTACAGTATTTAAGAATATTTTAACAAAAATACAAAAAAGTACCTTTTGCATTATTTACAACAAATTTTATAAAAGTTTTTTTGTTATTCTCATTGCTTTTATGAAAAGTAAAAATGAGAGATGTTAATTGACTTTTTTGATCAAGACTGTGTTTAATTTATTATATAATAAATGAAAAGTCTGCATTTGTGATCTAAAAACATCTGCTGAATTTAATCTTATCATACGGCTTGTTTTTATATTTTCAAATAAATCTACTTCTTAGAAAATTTTAAGGTACAAGCTATATTTTATATTAATTGCACACAAAACTTTATTAGATTCATCTTCAATATGTAGAGTAAAAATACAATTATAAGTTACAAACATAATTTTATATTAAAAAACAAATACAAAATTTTATAAAATAAGGTCTTTTATAAGTAAACCTTAATAATATATTAGTTTGCTAGTTATTACAAAGTTAACATGTCATATTTCTTAATTTAATAAATACATATAAAATATACTAATCAAATTTATTTGATAAAGATAGAAAAACATTCTTTTTTGTTTATTTTTAAACCTTTAATTTAAAAATTTTATTAAGATGAATTTTTGAAAAGATAGACTATTTTTTATATTCTATTTAAAGATGTTGTTTACATGAAAAATATTGTTTTTGCATTTGATTATACAAGAATGTAAATAAACAGAAATAAAGTATTTTACTCAGACAAAAAATTTATTAAAAATTTAAAACAAACAAAATGTTAATAAATTAGTATAGAATTTCATAATACAATATTATACTCACAATTTTTTTTTCATTTATTTAAAACAAAAATCATTCTTTTACCCATTTATGTTTTTATTATTTGTTATTACTTGTATTACGTCAAACCTTGATAATAAAAAAACTCGCAAAGAATTCAAATTGACATATCTTAGTGATGAAAAATATTCTTCTGACAGCTCATTGCCTGTTAAAGAAAAAAATTTTGGCTTAGATTTAAATGATTCTACAGCAAATAAGTCTAGTCATGAAAATTATAATTTTGTAAATAGTATCACCAACTCAAAATTTTCATTTGTCGAAAAAAACACATTTAGATTTACATCTTCAAATGTGAGCTCACAAAAAAATAAAAACCGTCACGATTACATGACATTAAAAAGTAACAAAAATGATTACGCGAAAGACGCATATTCCCAGAAATCAATATTTACACAAAATAAATCCTATTCAAAATCCGAAATGCCTGCTGCTAATACCGATAAAGATGCTAGTATTTCTACATCTGAAACATCTTCATTAGCTGTGTCTCCAGCTTCTTCTAATTCCGCATCTGATCAATCAAACATAGAAGACGATTACTTTGATGATAGATTTTCTACATTAATTAATGAAAATAATTGTATGACACAAGAGCGCAGTCATAGCCTTAGCCCCATATCATCCGATCGAAGCAGTAAATGTGGCTCGATGGACATTAAATTTGAAAATAATATTCAGAACAAAGAAGTGTTAAAGCCTAATTTGAACGAAAGATATTTACGAACCGACAACTGGATATACGATACCAAAAACAGGTATAAAAATGTGTATTCAAAGAGAAAAAAGAGGCAAAATATTAAATGTTTACAAAAATCGCCAAGCAATAGCTCTTCTGATAAAACAATAAATACATCAGAGTGTTCTATTAATTTACAACCAATAAATGAAAGCATAAAATTGGATGGAGAAACAAAAGACCTTTGTCAATGGGAACATTTAGTGCCAACACAGAGTATCGAACCCATTAAAGAGAAATGTTTTAGAGACATCAATAAGTTTAACGAAACCAATGAAGAAGAATGTTTTAGAGATATCAATAAGTTTAACGAAATCAATGAAGAAGAATGTTTTAAAGACATTAATAAGCTTAACGAACTTAATAGAAAAGATAAAGATTCAATCTGTAAATTTTGCAATAAAGAATCATATCTTAATCCAAAATATTACACTGAAAATAAAAATGAAATTTGTATAAAAGATAAGTCAGATTATAATTATCGTTATGCCTTGAAGTGCAATAATTTCTGTACATTTTGTAAAATGCATGCTACAGATAAAAACTCAGCCTACGGTTTATGCACTCCATGCGAGGTGTCTAATAATAAATGGTTTATTAATGATCTAGATATATACAAAGATAATTTCATATTGGATAATAACATTTGCAATAATAAAATATTACAGTGTCAGTGTAAAATATTTAGTCCAAGTTGTGTACATAAAAAATGTAAAAAAGATCTTTTAAGATATATTATCTTAAAAAACAATAGTTTTACTAACCACGACGCTTTAGACGTAAGCAGTAATTTACAATCAACTTTTAGTTATGTTTTTTTCTTCATGCTACCTTGTGATACTAGAAATAGTATGTTATGTTTTTATAATAACGTTAGACAGTTTATATCACCAGATGAATTTAAAAATAATATCATTGCTGTTTTAAAACAAAGTAATGAATTTCAAAAAGTGCTAAATCAAAATTCAAGATTAATTAATTTAGCTTGTAAATATGTAAATTTAAAACAAGGAGAAGGGGATGTGCACAAAATGTCGCACCAAAGCGATTTAACAAGCATTTTTGATTTAGAAATGTAGCAAACAATTATTATGTAAATAAAATTTTTAAAAAAAATAAGTATTTTTTAAAATAAGTGAAATAATTTATTATTTTAATTCAAATTACAATTTTTCTGTATTTTTGTAAATTTTCTAAAAAGTATATTTTATGAAAAAAAGTGATTTAAATAAAACATCGTATAAATGGGATAAAATACAAAACATTCGCTATGTAAAATTTATGTAGCTTTTTATCTTTTAGTTTAATATTTTACAAAAAATTAAGACAGTATAAACTATATGTGTTCAAATATATATATCTATTTATTAATATTACTTCAGTGAAGAAAAGATCTTTTTAAAGAAAATTTTCTTTATATAAAGAATTATTTTTTATAAAATTTTAAACATTTTTAATTATTTACCAAATACCTCCACAACAATTTGAATCTCGCCTATCATCTAAATTTATTATTTCTTTATAAATATCTTCCTCTTCTGGATTATTTCTAATATCTTCTTCTATAAGTTCATGTATAGCTTTTACTAAATCAGAAATATCCTCATAATTCAATGCACAAGTTTCAACAAAAATTGCATTGTATTTTTTCGCCTTTTTCTTACCTTTTTTCCGAAGTTCATCTAGGCGTGTTTTATCTACCAAATCTTTTTTATTTGCAACAATTAAAATTTTAATTTTATTTTCTGGATCATTAATTTTCACCAAGTTATTTATCCAATAGTCAATTCTGTCAAATGAATCTTCATTTGATAAATCATACACAATTATTGTTATAAAACTATTTCTAGTGTAATTAGGAATAAGAGAATTAAATCTCTCTTGTCCTGCTGTGTCCCACAACTGTAGCCTTACTTGCTTCCCAAGAATATTTATTGTTGTGCTAACAAAATCAAGCCCAATTGTAGGACCAAATGAATCTTCTATTTTTTGATATAGATATTGTGCCATAATAGTTGTTTTTCCTACACTAGAGCTACCTACAAATACTGTTTTATAAGTGTTTTTCATAATAACCCTTTAAAAATAAATTATTTATAAATTTAAAATTCTTCTTGCATAAGGAGAAGGATTTACTAAAGTCATTTGTAAAGGCACAAAATATAAATCTTTGTATAATAAAAATTAGTTTATGATTTTAAAATCCTAACCCATGTTTTTATCAAAAATATTTTCTTTTAGCACTAAAAACGAAGAAATAATATACGAAAACATTGCATATAAAATGATAAAAACATGTCGTGATGATAAAATTGTTACAAAGTTTGTTTATAAAAGAAGTATTAAGCAATATGTTCTTTTAAATAATATACATCATGACAATCTTATAAAACCTACAAAAATTAATACAAAAAGCAATATTTTTTACACACAACTTTTATTTCCGTTTAATAAAGTGTATAAAAGTGGTACCAAAGAATTCAACAAGCATATATTTTATTGTTTAGCAAATGCCATAGATTTTTTACATAAAAAGTGTAATATTTTACACAATAACATAGATATTGAATCATTATTTTTTACCGAAGATGGAAAAATAGTTTTAGGTGGGTTTGAAAATTCGAAAACCACTTCTTATCACGATCCAGATAATATCCAATTTAGTAATCTAGTACAGAAATTTTTAAAAGTTTCTACAAATATAGAAAGTTTTATTAATGAAAATAAGACCAGTTCGCAATATTTTATTGACAATGATATTTTTTTCTTTGGATTTGACTCGCACAATGTCGAGCATAAAATTGAGTTTATACGTTCCGTCAAAGATAAACACAACGAATTTGTAGAGATTTACAAAAAAAAAATAATACGAATTTTTGTAAAAGATCTATCTAAAGACTATGACAAATTTTATAAAGAAGAGATTTTGAATATGATTTTCAGTCTTGATGTTGATTGCTATGAAGATGTATTACCTTCTTTATTTTATGTTTTGGATTCTAATGTCAGGTTGTTTTTATTTAGAAATTGTAAAGTTTACACCAAAAAAATAGAAAGTTTAGATAAATGCTTAGATTCTTTATTATTAGGTCTTAAAATAAAAAAGAATGATTTAAGAAAGGAAACGATAAATTTTTTAAAACGCAATTTTAATAAATTTACAGATTTGTCTATAGTCAAGATATTAGAATATATGTTTGTTAATATTTCTGAGCCTGAAGATATTTTATTAATTTTAAATTATGTTAATAGCACTAAACCACGTTTATCTAATACAGATATTATTTATAATATGTGCAAAAAATACGTAACAATTACCGGATGTAAAAATGAAACACTAAAAACCATACATTTATTTTACACTTCATTTAACAAACATAAAGTCAGTGTAGAGTTATTACCCTTACTGTGTACATATTTAGCGGATTCTAAAGTACAGAATTCGACATTTCTCCTTGTAGAAGACATTTTGGCAGATTTAAAATGCCATAAAGAGAAAATTTTGTCTAAAGAGTGGTCTTTCACTGACCTATTTGGTAATAACAAAACATTAAAATCTAAAAGTGCAGAAAATATCAACGAGAAGGAACAACAAAATTCTGACGAGGAGTGGGATGATGATTGGTAAATAAAAGTCAAAATTCAAATTTAATTTTGTTATCTTCTTCATACCAGTAAAAAGTTAAATTTTTTGTTTTATTTAATCTATTTATGTTAGATTTTACCTCATTAGATTTTGTAACACAAATATTTAAACCAATTTCTTGATTCTCTACAAATTCTTTAAATCCTTTATGATACAAAATTTTTTGATTAATTTTAATATCTGGGCTGCTTTTATTGTGCACTGCTAACATTTCTTGTATTTTTATAGAAAGCAACTTAAGACATGTAATAGCATTAGTAATAGAACAATGGGAACCATCTTGTATAATGGTATTTAAATAAAATCTTGATAATTCTTTTAAGGCTATCCTTCTACTTCTTACATCTAAAAATAAATAGGAAGTATCAATTATTTTATTATGATACATTCCTAAAGCAGAAAAATCATTTTCTAGGCTGTGTCCAAGAAGAACAGTATTTTTGCCTATAATTTTACAAATTTCATTTTTCATTACAGAATTGTCTATTCCTGAATCTAATATTGTTTTTGTTAATCCGCTCCATTTTGTTTCATAATTTTGCACACAATTTACAGGTTTAACAAATTTATCATATAGTACATTACCCGTATGATCTACAAGACTTATTCTTCCCACCTCTTTACCAATTTCAGTTGTAACCATTTCTATATCCAAAGCTATAAGAAAGTGTGGCGTATCATTAATAAAAAGGTTATTTTTATCTGGACATTTTAGACTAGGATTATTTTCAACAAATATTTCGCTATCGTACAATTGTTCTATTTCTATAAATGAAACAAGATTAAGATTTTCTTTAGTCAACACAGACAAGTCTGGTGTGATATTACAAATTTTTACTTCACGAGTAAGAAAAAAAGGTAGATCAGAAAAATTTAACTTTTCATTTAACTCCAATTTACAATTTGACGGAAGCACAAACTCATTTTGTTTAAAATCTTCAATAAAAACAAAATTTACTGAAAATGGCTTCTCTGCGGATTTTATCTGCATAAAACCGGGCCTTTTAGTTTTATTGAATGCCCATTTTAATATTTTGTATACGTCATTCAACTTAAATCGCTTAAGATATTTATAATCAGCTATGTTTGTCATTTAGGGCTAATAAATTATAAAAAATAATTAGAAACTAAGTTGTATTATATTTAAATCATTACTTTGTTGTACTTATACTTATACTTTACTATACATTTATTGTTTTAAACTTGTCATGTAAAATAACTTAATAAAATAAATAATGATGAAATTTGTAAACACTGTTAATATCAGAACTTTATTGTTTTCTTCTATACTCACCCTGAAAATTTAAGTTAGGAATATAAAATTAATTTAAAAATAATAACAAATCTAATTAAGTTATATTTACTTCAATAAATTTAATAGTAATACTTTTTTAGCTATAAATGAATTGTCATTAATATTTAAAAATTTTATATTTAAATGACTAATAAAAGTACATTTAAATTGTAAGTCTTTATGATAATATTTAGATTATTTACTTTACACTATGTAGGTCATTTAACTGCTATGTTTAAATATCATTAAAACAACCTCCTTTGCAAAATAATGAAACAGGTTTTAATTTAAAACATTAAAAATAAAAATCGTAAAATCAACTTATTTTTATAAAAAATTAATTACTAATTTTTTGCAATAAAAGATCTTTAGCACTAAATTTTTGTTTGAAACAAAATCGAGACAAAAAAATATAAAATAATTAATCAGCATAAATAAATTAAATGTCTGAAATAGTATCCACAGATTTTTCAAAAAGTGACTTAACAGAAATTCAATATACAAAAATAAATGTTAAAACAAGTTGGCTTATAATATCAGATAATAAACTAAAATGTATCCCCGATGAAATCCAGAACCTTAAATATTTAACTAGATTAGCAGCCAATGACAATAAAATTTCAGAAATTAGTCCTCAACTTTGTCATCTTCAAAATTTAACATGGATCGATTTTACAAGAAATCGCCTAAAAAACCTCCCTACAAATTTTCATAATCTGCATAAAATATCAGGTCTCGGATTGAGCGAAAACGAGTTTGATGAAATACCTGAAAATATTTATAAAATGGTAAGTTTAAGAAAATTCGGATTTTTTTCTAATAGAATACGGTGTATTAAAAAGGATATCAGATATTTAAGAAATCTAGTTAAGATTGATTTGTCTAATAATCTACTGAGTAGTTTACCTGACGAGATTTGTGAATTAACTTATCTTAATTGGTTAAATTTATCGAATAATAAATTAATTAAATTACCAAAAGATATGAATAATCTTATACATTTAGAAGAACTAGGTTTGGGGATGAATAACTTGACAGAATTACCTAAAATGGATAAATTATATAAATTACGAATACTACCAGTGTTTAAAAATAATCTTAAAGATATTACACATACTTTAAGATACTGTAAATCTATTGAAAAACTGGACTTTTCTGATAATGAAATTAGTGCACTTCCTGATTTTTTATTAGATATGCCTTGTTTAAAATACTTGAATTTAAAAGGCAATAAAATTAATAAAATAAATATTGATAAAATAGAATATATAAAATCTAATATAAATATGATAGATTTAAGTGATAACAAATTAGAAGTAGTTCCATATAAATTCTTTAAATTGTTTAGTAATATAACTACAATAAAAATATCTGATAATCCTTATAATTTACGAGATAATACGCAACCAAAAAAAATCACTTTATTAGAAAGATGTTATAACAGATTATTAAATTTAAAATATCATATAAATCCTTGTTTAAATGTTTTCTTCCAAAAAATAAGGATATGTGATATTTGTAATAATTATTATGTTAACTCCCCATATTTTACGTACAGCAAAAGTAGTATTGAAGAAGAAGAACAATTTGTATTCGTTGTAGAAAAACTTTGCTGTTCTAATGGATGTTATAAACGAGAAATAAAAAAATAGACATAAATTGTTAAAACATTAGTTATTTTTTTAATGTTTCCCTTATTTTGTAATTATTTCTCATTGGTTTATAATATCTTGATAACTCTTCTATATCTAAATTATCATCAAGACTTTCTAAAATATTATTAACAACTCTATAATGATTTGGTGTATTTTTATCTTCTCTAATTTTATATAACACCCATCCACCTATTTTCAATATATCATTTTCAATATCATTAACTATTTTTTCTTTATCAAATACAAATTCGCCTATTTTTCCATCTAAATCATTGTGATCAGTCTCAAAATAATCAAAAATAATTTCGTTATTTTTATATGTACATGTCAAAGCGTAAAGACCCGCCTTTCTCTGTTTAAGTCTAAAATCTATTGTATTTATTTCAGGTGGTTTCCATTTCAAATGTGTTCCCCTTTTATACAAAATATATTTATCATTAACAGGTGTAAAAATCAGGCCATCATTTTTATGATTTAAATTTTTGATCTGATTGTAAATTTCTAGAAAACCATAACTCTTATACATACTCTTCACATAAAAATTTATATTAAAATCAATACTTGTAACAAATTGTTCGCAATAATACAATCTTTTAAGTAAAGGCTTATCTGTGATAATTTCATTATTATACACAAGACAATCAAAGATTCCATAGTTCAACTTTTTTTTATGATCATAAAATAACTCACCATCTATAATTGAATTTCCAATATTGAGATTATCATATTGTATTTCATATACATCATTTTTTCTGTCATAAAAATATATTTTATTGTCAATAGTTAAACATAGCATTCTAACACCATCTGATTTCTCACATACCATGTAATCATTTTTTAATAAAAGAATGATATTATCATTTGTAAGAGAAATTGGATGATTACCTATAAATTTGTATGCAAAAATGGGATTGTCAATATTCAGTAATTCATTAACCCGCTTAAAAATATTAAATTTTACATCCTTATCAACTTTCTGTCCAATCTCCATAAAAAGGGCTTAAAATTTACACCAAAGCATCTTTAAAATAAACTTATGAATGTATAGAACATGTCATTATCATTTATATACATGATAAATTTAATATGTTAACTACATCTAAAATTTAAAACAAGTAAACACATATTTTATACATAAAAATATTCTAATTTAAATTATTAAAAAATCTTGCTTTCTTATTTTTGAATAAAATTTTAATTTTGCAATTCAAGATATTTTCCGTCTCATAATTAAATTAAAAAAATAACATCTTACATCTTTCAATAGTTATTACATTTTATGTCTGTCTTGTAAAAAATTCAATCTTATATCTTTCAATAATTTTTACATTTTAATCTTTCAATTATATTACATTTTATATCTATCAATTATAATATCTGTCAATAACACTTACATAATCCATCTTTCAATAATTATTACATTTTATATCTGTCAATTATATTACTACACATTTTACTCAAAACTGTACGACTTATTTTTATATCTCTTTTTTTGCATAAAAAGTATAATTTTTTTACTCCAAAATTAATTAACCTTAAATAAAAGTTCTCATTAACAAATATTGCTCTTTTAAATAATATTTGTAATTTCCACACATACAATACTAATGTATCATATATATTCTCATATACTTTGGGATTTAATTTGTTAATTAAAATGCAAGATCTTGTATCAATAAATTTACTCATTTTTTTAATAATTAATAGTCCTATGTTATTACTTGGTGAATAAATACCAAACTTAATATTTTTGTCATCTAAATTATTCTTTAAAAAGGTATTCTTGCCTATTGTAGTAAATTTCATACCTAAATAAATTATTTCACTATCTTTTAAAATAAGATCATTTTCTTCTGTAACATCAAAATTTGATTCAGTTTTTTTAGTTTGAAATGTAACTCCAAATTTTGATAATTTTTTTGAAATTTTCAGAAAATTTAAAATATCAGATTTATTCTCGGAGATCACTAAGAAATCATCTACAAACCTAATAATCTGTCCATCTTTCATAACTTTGTTAAAATACTTTTTATCTAATTGCGAATAATATAAAGCACATATTAACGAGCTTAAAATACTACCTTGTGGTATTCCTTCTGTCTGTTTAAATATTTGGTTTTTATACGATATTTTATTATTTAACAATACCCGCTTTACTATTTTAACCATTTCATCTCGTGTGTATTCCTTCACATAAATATCATCTAGCAAAATTTTTTCTGAAAATTTTTTAAAATATTCTGGATATTCTAAAAATTCATTAAAAACAGTAATACATTTAGTTTTAGTAGGCCTTAAAAAATTATTATTAATCTTTAACAAATTATTATAATTTTTTACGACCAATTCGCTAAATGTTCGTACAACATAATAATCTTTTTTAAAAAGTTTATCTATTAATCGCTCTAAATAATTGTGTTTTATATTATCAAAACATTTTTTTACATCCATTTTTAATATATATAAATTTTTCTTATTAATTAATGGATACAACTTATTCTCCATATCTTCAAATCCTAGCATAGAATTAGACAATAATTGTCTGTTTTCATATTTAATTATTTCATAAATCGAACTAATATAATTATTAGAAATATTAAGATTTGAATATGAACTTAAATTAACAATTACTCTACCTTCTAATAGTTTTGGAATTACTCTGACATTATTTATACACTTATTTTTATCGTTTATTGAGTAAGATTTATATCTATCAGATGATAAATGGGCATTTATGCATGTCTCTGAAAATTTATACCATCTATGCCTTACGTAATAATAACATTTATATTTTGTTTGGCATGATTCAGTACAATAAACAAATTTGTTGATAAATGGAATATAAAAATCACTAAATAAAAAAACCAAATACTTTTTTGTAAAATCCATCATATTGGTGTAATCAATATTGGAATATATATTTCCATTATTTTTGAAAAATCTAAAATTTACAATTCTGAAGTGTCTTATTAACTCTTCTTCACTAAATGACTCTAATTTATTTTTATAAATAAGAAGTGTTAATTTCTGTTTTAATATTCTAAAATTGTATCTATCAAAAATATTTAAAAAAACTTTTTTAGATACACAAAATAAAAAATTAATTAATTTCAGAGGATCAATAAGGTTATCAGCTGTCATATATTTATAAAATAACTTACTAAAATTATTTTTCTTGTATTTAATTGCACTTTTCTCAAAAACTTCTTCATTTATTATATCCTTATATCTACATTCTAGTAGCAAATCTTTTGGATGTATTTGTATGATATCCTTATTTTTAAAAAACAGTTTATGCCTATTTATGCGCCTAGTATTTTTTTCTGAGTTAAAAGTTCCTGAAATCATGAGTAAGTTACTCATATCATCTTTGCCAGGCATTTCGACAAATAATCGACAATTTATAATAATGTCAATAAATAACTCATCTCCTAAATGTTTAAGTAATTCCTCAAATGTTAAAAGTTTACTTACAACATTATTAGGTCCTACAATGCATAATTGTTCATTAAGATATTTGAATCCTTGGGTTATGACATTATTTATATCTTTTTTAATGCAATACTCAATACAATATTTTAATATTTCAGAAATCGATAACTTATTTTCTCTATTACAAGATTTGGGTAAAACAGTATATGAGATAAAATCTGGTATATTGATTTCAATAGTTAATGGTAAGTTTAATAAAAGTAGAAAGTCTTTAAAAGGAATGCATCCTAAGGATTCTATTTTTTTATTCATTTTGACGGGTTACAAGTATAAAAAAATAATATAAATAAATGCGTAGTCTACATACAAACCATCAAAACACAGCGAGTATGGCGTAGCGGTAGCGTATCAGTCTCATAATCTGGAGGTGCGGGTTCGACTCCCGCTATTCGCATTTTTTGCAATTCTATATAATTTTAAATTTATATTTTATTTTTCCACTTAAAATAATCATTTAAATCCCTTTATGTCTCTACATAAAAAAATAAGAGAGATTTTTTCATCTGCGTCATTAAATTTTTATAAAAGAGAAGATGTTATAGAAAAAGTTAACAATTTTATTAACTCAAAATCAGATAATATTCTCCACTTAACAGGAAACCCTGGAAGTGGTAAAACTTCACTTGCTAAATACGTTTGTAGAAATAAAAAGCATATGTTTATTAATGCATACAATGAAAATATAAAAAAGCTTATTTTATTAAATCACAAAAATAAAATATGGATTATTGATGAATTTGATAAAGTTAATGATTCTAAGTTTATAATTAATTACATTAAAACACATAATAAAAAACTTATAACTCTAAGTAATTCATTAAACAATTTTAAATGTTTAAATGAAATAAATATATCTCTAAGACCATATACCAGTAAAGAAATAGAAGATATTTTACATTTAAAATGTGAAGAAGTTGGAGAGAAATTCTTAAATGAATTTGAGATCAAATTTATAGCTAAGATGTTTGGTAGAACAGGTGATATGAGGCTTGTTTTTAATTTTATAAGAGACAATTACGATAAAACTACACAAAAAATTATACTTAATAAATCTACAGAGGATAATAAAGATGTTGAAGATGTAAATATTCATCATAAAATAATAAAAGAAATCGTATTTAAGAATTTTGACAGAAGAAAAGCTTTTAGTATTTATATTGAGGAGTGTGAGAAATTGGGTATTCCCTATCTATTTAGAAATGATTTTTATTCTGTGTATGATATTTATAGTTAAGTATTTTTGTATTTTAAATGTTTATCTTTTAATTTAGTTGATTTACAAACAGTTAGTTAAATGTCTATCAATTTGTATCATTGTCATAAGACAAAAAATGTATAAAATCCTGATTAAGAAAAGGACCGTCTAATATGTACTTATACAAAACTTGATTGTTTTTTTTAACTGCTATTTTGTCCTTTTTAAGATTGACTTCATAATACATTCCATTTATAAATTTATGCCTGCTAATTATAAAAGGAATAACATAAGTAGAAGATAAGGGCTCATTTAGTATTAAATCTATCATTAGATCTATGTCAATATTTTTAAGTATAAGAAAATCATTTTCTTCGTATTTTATGTCATTAGAATTAAGCAACTTTATTAGTCCCTTAGAAACTTTCAGTTCTTTATTTTTATAAATTAAAATATCTGATTTATACTTCATTATAAAGTCTTTCTTACTTTTAAAAATGTTAAGAAGTGAACTAATAAACAGAGTATAAATAGATTTAAAAATATTGCTCTTTTCAAATCGTAAATCAGGCATGTATGGAAATTTATACATAGGTACAGCTTCTTGTACAATATCATCTGATGTGTATAAAATTAATTGATTTATAATTTTTGGTGTTATAAAAGATTTGTGGGAATTTACTGACTTGGGTTTAGACAACACAGATAAAAAATCATCTTCCGATATTTTCTGTGTAGGTTTATTCAATGGGCTTGTTATGTGATTATAAGATTCACCATCTTTTTGTGAGGGTTTACTAATAATTTTTGTTGTATCAGCCTCATCGATAAAACTTGAATCTAATTCTGATAGTGTTACATCTTCTAAAGACAGAGGGCTGTTTTTATAAAAAATATCAAATGGGTCTTCAGGAATAATTTCTTCATCAAAGATAGGTTTTTTAGTACCTTTAATTTTTTTAAGAATTTTCTTTCGAGTATTTTGCATTGAGGATTAAAAATTAATAATTTTTTTATCGAAAATTTTTTGTAACATCACCAAAGATTTCTGTAAAAAAATATTTATGCGAAATAATTTTTTATATAAAGTATTACATAATCTTAAAATAACATATTTACTTTAAATTTAATTTATAAATAAACAAAAGTATAAATAATTGCGATTTATTTATTTTTAGCTTATAGTTTGTAAATATACTATTTTATTTTAATAATTTATTTGCTTTTAAATTATATTTATTTCAAAGATTTACAAACCCAGTCCTACGTTAAAATTTTATTTGAATGATCTACAATTTGATTCTAATCAAGTTACAATTTAAGTAATAAATTTTACATAAATTAATAAGCATTTGAAACTAACATCTATCTCGTTTGTATAAATTTTGGTAATTCAACACAAAAACTTATTTTTTAAATAATAATAATTAAATCAAAGATTTTTGTGATAGAAATCTTTTATTTTAAAAATTACTTAATGTTCTTGTATATAATGTACACATCAGAACATAAAATAAAAATCTAAATATTTTTTTAAGACAACATTAACATTTTACTGGAAAGAAACTATAAATCTTTTAACTCTTGTATTGATATCAACATCTAAGTAAATTTCTATTTTATACAAAATTTATATCATCATTGTCTATTTCATCATTCCTAAAATAATCTAGTCCTGTTCCATTTGGTCTCCACAGCCATAAAAAATATAAGTTACCCATAACTTCACACCAATTTCCAAAAAATCCCTTATCGTACGCACTTCGCTCATCGTAAATGTAATAATGCTGATCTTCAATAAATGTTATATTCTTAGAAATTAGCTGTGCCTGAATTTTAAACATAACACTACAAAGAGCTACTAATGAAATAGAATATAACAATAAATAAGCCAATAAAACTTTCGCCATATTATTTACTCGAATTTTTATTATAAAATTAATTATTCCAAGTAAAGATACAAATAATGATATAACTGTAAAAAATAAGAAGCGCATAAAATCGCCGTGGTTGTCATAATTTACACAAACACCAAGCCACATACAGTGGTGATCCATTTTTTTTATGCATTTTTTACATTTACTACAATGGTGTGCTCGAGTTGGTTTAAATCCCTCGCATATTTTACAATACCGAGAGCTTCTGCTGAATGTGTCTTTAAGCTTATAATCTACGTATCCTTTTCTTAAAAAGCATAAAATTAAATAAAAAATACTACAAAATTGAAAAAAATAATTTGCATAAATAAATATATTGTAGAAAAGTTTAGAAATCAAATAATTGGTAATTAAATGATGAAATGTAAGAGAACAGAGGAGAAGAACAAATCTAAAAAAATCTAATTTGGATTTTGGTAACATTTTTATGGGGTTTATATCAGTTTATTCCAAAAAGTAAACAAAAGATTAATAAACATTACAATAAATAAAAATTTTATTTTGATACAACTGAGTGACTGTGTGTATTTATAAACTTTTAGTAAAATATTGTTCGTGTTTTCCAGGCAATTTTAAATTCATTTCTTATGTAATCTTTTTTAAACCTAGTGTTGTACCATATTTACACTAGATTTCTTTAATGACTTAAATTTTTATTCAAATTTATTTAATCACTACAAGAATTAGATAATAATCTTTGTATTAATAGACAAATTGCTTTTTATCTTAGTAAATATAATGCGATCATAAATAATATGTAATTTGCACTTTTAAGTTATCTACTAAAATAATTAATTGAAAATTAACATGAAAAGAATCGATATGTTGAATTAAATTTAAAAACTATAGGGCAGAAACAAAAAATTGTCAACAAAGTAAAATTCAAATTTAACATTAATATTTCAAAGAATCGAAATGAGAAACAAATATTGTATTAAATTTATCGTAAGCAGTAGCGCCAATGGTCAAGTGGTTAAGACAGCACCTCTTACGAGGTGTAAGCCTAGGTTCGATTCCTAGTTGGTGCGTTTTTCGTTGTTTAAATGTGTCCAAATTTATAAACATGTGCTGGGATTTACTTGCTCTTTTAAGCTTTTATTTAATATATCAATAAACTTATTTTATTAATTTTTTTCCTAATCACAAATACTATTTGTAGGATAGTAAGGATGTAGACACGCCAATCAGTAGTATTGGATTAATAGCTTTGACATGTCTGTTATAGTAATTATAGTTATTAAATAAACCCATGTTTTATACCAAACTATTATTTATGTTTAATAACAATTTTTAATAAATCTTTAAATGTATCATAATTTTACGTATTTTTTAAAAAACCTTAATTTTTAAACCCTTATATGAAACTTGTAACACATGACGGAAAATTTCATTATGATGAAGTATTAGCTTCCTCAATACTATTGTTTATCTATCCAAATGCTGAATTAATACGAACAAGAGATCTTGTAGAAATATCAAAAGGAGATATTGTTTACGATGTAGGTAGCGAATTTAATCCATCTACTAAAAGATTTGACCATCATCAGCATAGCTTTAAAGAAACTTATTCTAACAAATACAATTTTAAACTTAGTAGTGCTGGTTTAATTTATAAATATTTTCAGAAAGAATTGTTTCAATATTTTGAGATTTATGATACACACCCGCTTTATGAAAGATTAACTGACAAAGTTTACAATGAATTTTTTTTAGGTGCGGATTGTGTGGATAATGGAATAGATATTTGGAATATAGTTAAACCAAGGACAATTTATGATGTAGTGAATGATCTAAATGTGGATAATGATTGTTTTTCTGAAGCTCAGACAAAAAATTTTTACGAGGCTGTCAAAATTGTCTCAGATGATTTTATACGATACATGTATAAAGTGAAAGATTATTGGTTAAAGTACTACAGCGAATGCGAAGAAAAAATTAAAAATTTGTCGGGGCATATTTTACAATCTGATAAGTATTATGATGTCGATCTTATTCTTGATATTGAAAAACAATACAACAAAGACGTCTATTATTTAGTGTATCCGCAAAATAATCAGTACAGAATTCGTGCGATTAATGTTGAATCCAAAACTATGGCTAGTAAACTGCCTTTAAAAGAGGAATGGAGAGGAAAAAGAGGCAAAGAGCTTAATGATCTTTTTGAAGGAGCAATTTTTGTTCATTATTCTGGATTTATTGGAATACATAAAACAAAAGAAGGCGCACTTAAAATGTGTGAAAATACAATTAACAGTAAGTAATAAATATGG